AGGAATACCCACTAATATCTCCCAAGAGAGCTCCTCAGCACTGCAGTGGTGCTGACAGCGTTCAGCAGTCTGAGCTTTGCAGTCTAGCTTAAGATAAGCGAGACTTGCCATTTACTCTTGAGCAATGTATGTAGTTTCTCCGAGCCTCAATTTCCTCTTCTATCATTGGTTTGAAGGACTAAACAGCATCCCATAGGTCAAATGGGAAGCCTGTTGCCTGGAGCTCAAGCTGTCAGCATGAGTGATCACTCCATCGTCCAGCCTAGTGGTCATCCTAAATTTTCCTGCTGTCTCTGTCCTCTGCTATCCCCACTGCAGGTTGCCTGCCTCAGATTTAAATATAACTTCACTCCAGACCCACTCTTCTTCCTCCCTAGCTTCACATCCCAGAGTTCACCAGAAGCCTGGGAGCCATCAGAGACTTTCCACTCCCACCCCCAACCTGGGGTCAGGTGCATTAACCTCACATATTTAAAGAGTTTTCAGTTATTGAGTTCTTTTCTCATTCCCATGACTTGAATCCAGACCGCACCCACTGCTGGCCGACTGTCGAGTCAGGATTTTGTTCCTCGTCCTCAGTCTACCCAGTCGACTCTATGTCCTTCAGTCCCAACTAAGGTGTCACTTCTTCCAAAGACCCTCTCTAGCTGTTTCCTCCTCCCACAGGTTACACGCTGGGTGGACTTCCCTCTAGGAGCCTATGCTGTCGGAGCCCCAGCATTCCCACGGGGGTTCTCACGCCTGTAGGTTCCCAGGCAGGAGATTTTAAAGTATTCCTCCTCAGACCTCTTGGGCCAGTATCTGGCATAGGGACTGTCAATAAATATTTGTTGAATTAAATTTGCCTGAATCTCCCAAAAGGTTGTGGTCTGAAAGGTGACTCAGTGATTGTGTTCAGAGGAAGAGCCATCTCACTGTTCCACAGGCTGGCTCGGCTCTTCCTCCTGCTGGTAACTGCTGCCATCTCCTCAGTACTCTGTGTCAGCGCTGCAGTAAATGCTGTATATACATTAAATCACTTAGCCCAGGGAGCTGGGTTCTAGTGTTACCCATCTTACAGAGGAATGCTGAGGTTTTTCCAACTGGACAGGTAGGGTGCCCACCTAGGGCTGCCCGCTTCCCTCCAAACCCATGCTTTGCACCTCCATGGACTGAGGTCCACCTACATTCTCATCTTGACCATGGTCATCCTTGTCATGTGGTGATGCTACTGGGGATTGAACCAGGGGCGTTCTACCACCAAGCTACATTCCCAGTCCTTTTCATGTTTTATTTTGAGACAGGATCTCAGTAAGTTTCCAAGGCTGGTCTTGAACTTGCGATCCCCCTGCCTCAGCCTCCCAAATAGCTGAGATTTCAGGCATGTGCCACTGTGCCCAGCCTGGTCATCTAGATTTTTAATAGGTGTGTGTTAGTGCACATTTGATTTATGTGTCTTGATAAACTCTTCTAACACTAATCTCCATTTTTATTTGAGCTGGTCCTTGGAGGTGTTTCTAAATGGCTTAGAATCAGGGAGAGCAAGTGCAATTAGCCAAGGCCCTTTTATTGCAGCCCTCCCCTGACTCCCTAAGTGACTGACACTCTTGTGCCATATTTTCTCATGGGAGAGAAAAGTTCGATCCCAGATACTTGCTAAACACTGAGGTAAGACTATGGTTCTCAGCTCTTGTGAGCTCACAGTCCTAGCAGGGAAACACAGGTTCTGACCACAAGACAGAGTAGTGAGTAGAAAAACACTGAATTCTCCTGTCTGCAGTTCCAAAATCCAGAAAGCTCTGAAAACTGACAGGTTTTTTTTTTTTTAATAAATCATTTGGAGGCAAAACCTGATTTAACATAGTTTTTACGTGGTTTTTATTCATCTCACTTAGTGTGAATATTTATACATTTTGCTGAAGAAGTGTTGGTCACAGGGTGCTGCCCCAGCCCCCTAGGGAGTGTAGATAACATGGCTTTCAAGTCTGTGGTACATCAAGCCCTGAGCTTTGGAAAAACCCGTGTCCTGATCAATTGGGAAAAATTGTGTGGAAAGACTTTATAAATTAAAAAATAGTGGCTGGCGTGGTAGCACACGCCTGTAATTCCAGCAATTTGGGAGGCGGAGGCAGGAGGATTGCAAGTTCCAGGCCAAGCTCAGCAATTTAGCAAGTCCCCTCTCAAAACAAAACAAAACAAATTTTCTTAAAGGGCTGGGGATGTAACTCAGCGGAAAAGCACCCCTGGGTTCAATCCCCAGTAACAAAAATAAAATAAATTAGTAAACCAAGGTTTTAAATGGTATAGTCCCCCCTTTTGTGTAACTGAGCTGGTGACTTTTTTCAGAACCAGGAAGAAAGTCAAAAGGAAGTAAAATTTGAGCTGGGTCTTGAAGCGTGAGTTGAGTTTCTCACTTCATGGAGAAGCTGTGGAAACGAAGTTCTGGACAGAGGGAGGAGGGTGTAGAAAATGCGCAGGGGGAAAAAAATGCCTTTAAGCGGCTTGAGCACATGGACTTTGTCAGCTTACAGGAAAAAAGTCTGATTATCTGTCAAAATTCAGGAGAGAAGCAGTAGGAATAATACAAAGGGGCAGCTAGTCCAAAATCCATTTGCTTTGGGCAGGATTTTTCTTGGGGGGATGCAGACTTACAAGTCCCCAGAGAAACATCACTGCTGCCACCCCACCCAGCTGTGGTCCAGTGGGGAGGCCATGGCGGTGGCTCACAGTGCCCATCCTCCCCATCAGGCAGGTGCAGCAGGGGCCGGTCCCCACACCAGCCCAGGGAGGGGCTTATTTCACTGCCTTCTGCTTGGACTGGGGTCAGCCCCCTTCCAGGTGGCAACTCTAACATCAGACTGCCAAGTTCAAAGCAGTTCAGCTACTTACTGCTGTTAGTGGCCTTGAGCAAGTTATTTACCTCTTCTGGTGCCTTTGTTCCTCCACTGTAAAAGCAGAACAATGGCACCAAAGCCTGGAAGCTGGCCTGTAGCACTTAGCAGGGTACCTGAGTGGTAAGCATTGGGTAAGCACTAGTGATTACTGTGACAAGGACTCCCTCTCTCCCGCTGACATATAAGTACTTGCAGTCCTTAATACTTACCTTAAAAAAAAAGAAAAAAAAAACTTTATTCTTTCTTTTCTTCCCCTGGCCATCCACTCCCTCATTGTTAGCCATTTTCTGTAGAATGTGACCATTTTGGTTTCTTGCCACTGTGTCTCAATCATGGTGGGACAAGACCTTCCTTACTTGGACAATGTAGGGATTCCCAGCTTGGGCTCCCAGATCCTCAGGGGTCCTTGTAGGCAGTCAGGGACATTCCTAAACTCATACCAGGATGCTGATGTCCAGCGGTATAAATAAAAACACCTGCTTTGGAGCCCCTAACCAGTCACCCAAGCCTGTGAAAGTTCCATAATCAGTTCCATATCTTATTACATTATGATTTGTTCTAGCCTTTGTGACCTACGCAACCAGTGTAGCCTCTATGTTCTGTGTAGTTTTTTCGGCCTGTATAGTGCAAATGAAATGTTAACTTCTATTGCCTTTGTAGCCTACATGACTCATTCCTTACTAGATAGCATGGGACTATAGTACTTTTCTCACAAAAGCAAAATGAGCCATGGGTTTAAAGCCCTTAGCATAGGACTTGGTGTATAAGAAATACCTTGTGATGGCCTGACTCCGTTATTACTGTTAGTATAAAACATTTCTTGAAAATCACACTTTTACTCCCAGGTCAAGGCCTAGGTTAATGAAAAGGTTGGTGTCTGTCAGAAGTAGATGGTATTACCACAGTTTAGTATGGTGATGCTGTGGCCTCATGCAAACCTCTGGTTGGCAGTACCATATGGTTTTCATAGGTGAAAATAAATAAGATTTCTACTTAATAAATACATTAAGGGGCTGGGGTTGTGGCTCAGTGGTAGAGCACTTGCGTAGCACGTGTGAGGCACTGGGTTCAATCTTCAATACCACATAAAAATAAATAAAAATATCGTGTCCCTCTACAACTAAAAAAAAATAGAAATTAAAAGTAAAATAAATACATTTAGGCAGAGAAGCATGGCAACCTGAAATCTTACATTGTGGAGAAAGAGGGTATCCGGTCATTAAAACAGCATGGGGACTCAGAAGTTTCGTACACTATCAGTACTAGCTCGTTGACTGGCTCTTGTTTTTAAAGAACTTTGTTAGTAAGTAACACATGAACATTGTCACTTGGCCTCCCCTAAAGCCCTCAGGCAGGTTTTACCATTAAGCCAAGTTTTGAGGTACTGGTACTGTGGTGTCACAGGTCCACATGAGTGAAAGGACTTATCACAGACTTAAAAGGGACAGGCTCTTGGAAGCAATCCAGCCCAAACCACCCTACCCCATCGCACAGAGCAGAGAAGATATTGCCTGTGGTGGGGATATATACCAAAGACCTCCAGATCCATCCAGGATCCTTTCTGACAGACCAGGATCCTCACCTAGAAGGGACATGATGCCAGGGGCTCAGTAACTCACCAGGGAGTTCTTTCCAAATAGAAAGTCCATCTCCATTTTCCACCCTCTTCCGCTAAGGAGAATGTCTCCTCTGCCCTATTGTGTTAGGGCCAACAAAACCACAAACAGGACAAGTGGGCAAGCCCTCCCTGGGTCTCCCAGACTTGCTTGTTTGGGGTTCCTTCATCTGGAGAGGCTGGTTTGGTGAGTCAGAGCTCAGGCCTGAGAATCTATATTATTAGTGAGCCCACCACAGAATTCCTAGGACAGAGCAAGTCTGGGGACATACAGAGCCAATTCAGGTCAGCAGGGGCTTTCACTGTTTTCATCCGGTGTGGACAGTGGGGCTGGAGGTCCACCCGCACCCTGTGCTGTTCCTTGGAACTTGGCTCTTTTCCAGCAGAACCTAATTCCTGGGCACCGTGGCAGCTCAGACGCGCTGCCTGACCTACTTTGGGGAGATGATTTGAGTGGAAGACGCCCAGTCTAGCCTGGCTGACATTAACGTCTCTCTTGGCATTGTGCTTAGACTGAAGAACCTGGAGCTAGCGGCCGTGGGAGGATCAGACGTCCACGTGAAGATGCTGGCGGCCCCTATCAATCCATCTGACATAAATATGATCCAAGGTAACCTTGGTTTCTGGGGCTTATGTTAATTGGCTTTTTTGCTCAGCTGCTACCTCATTGTCGGTCCTCCTCAGGTGCGGATGTGAAGTGCCCGTGATTGCAGCAGCTGTTCTTCAGAGGTTCCATCTGCAGACTGTGTCAGCCTTCTGATCTCCCTCCTCTGTGGCAGGAAGATTGCAGTGGGGAGGGATGACCCTGCGACATGCTGGACTCCTTTCCTAGTTTCCTTGCCCCTAGGATACCATGAATGCTAAAGAGTCTTAGGCCCTGGACAGATGAGGAAACTGAGGCTCACTCAGGTGGAGGCTGAGGCTAGTCAGAGGCAGGGCTGCTCAGGCTTGGGTCTGACTGGCCCCAGAGTCTATGCTGTCTCCCTGCCTAGACATGGCTGACCCTTTGCCCTCTTCTCCCTCAGGGAACTATGGCCTCCTTCCCAAGCTGCCTGCTGTTGGAGGGAACGAAGGTGTGGGACAAGTGGAGGCCGTGGGCTGCCGTGTGACTAGACTGAAGCCAGGAGACTGGGTGATTCCTGCAAACGCTGGGTTGGGTGAGTTTTCCCAGGAGTCAGCAAGCATTCTGTTCTTCCAGATCCTATTTCACCCACCACTGAGAAACTCATCTCATTGGCTCAGTGGAACTTACTAAGTTCATGTGGCTGCCTCAGGAGGGGTGGGGGCTGAGCAGGGAGAGCAGGACCCATTTCTTTTGCCCCAGAGGGAGTGTTCCTGCATTTTCACCTCCTTGGACTCAGGTTGATGGAGGCTATAATTCTCTAAATCCTACATCCCTAAATCCCTGCTGTAAGGTGCAGTGGAGCATATGGATAAAGTGATCCCTGCCCTCCAGGAGGCTGAAATCTAATTGAAGAAATCTGTAAACCAATAACCTCAATGAAGGGAGTGCTGAGAATTCACAGGAAGCAGAGGGTTCTTCTGGCCCTTCTGTGTGCATGTGTATGTATATATGAGAGAGAGGATACTAAAGAAAGAAAAGGCTTTGTGGAGGAGGCTTCCTTAGAATGGGCCTTTGATGAATGAGTTTTGTTAGGTGGAGATGAGCCTAGCATTTCATTTGAAGAAAGCAAAATGAGCAAAGATACAAAGGTGAGTTTGAGAAATGGGGGGAAATCCAGTGTAGCCTCAGCAGGGGATTTGTATGGGAGAGGGATGCAGGAGTAAGAAAGAAGGTTAAAAGGGGTTGGGCATAGTGGCGCATGCCTGCAATCCCAGTAACTCTGGAGGCTGAGACAGGAGGATTGCAAGTTCCAGGCCAGCCTGGGCAACTTAGCAAGTCTGTAAGCAACTTAACAAGGCCCCTGTCTCAAAATAAAGAACAAAAGAACAGGGATGTGACTCATGATAGAGCATCCTGGTTCAATCCTCAATACCAAAAAAATAAATAAATAAAAGGTAGGGCATGAGCCGGGCATCCTGGCGCACACCTATAATCCCAGCGGCTCAGGAGGCTGAGGCAGGAGGATTGATGGTTCAAAGCCAGCCTCAGCAAAAGCGAGTCACTAAGCAACTCAGTGAGACCCTGTCTCTAAAGAAAATATAAAATTGGGCTGGAGATGTGGCTCAGTGGTTGAGTGCCCCTGAGTTTAGTCCCTAGTACCCCCTCAAAAAAAAAAAAAAATAGGGCATGACCACATGGGATAAGGCCCTACACAAGCTACCTAAAGAGTAGGATTTTCTTTCTTTTTTTTTTCCTGTGGTGCTGGGGATTGAACCCAGGGCCTGTGCATGCAAGGCAAGCACTCTACCAACTGAGCTATGTCTCCAGCCCTAAGAGTAGGATTTTCTTTATGTGAAAAAATGAATCATTATTTTGGTTTTAGCACTCCATGGGTTTGAGGCCCACCCATTATAAAATAGGTTCTCACAGCAGGCACAAGAGTATAGCAATGCATATGTCCCTACTGGACATGAGGATGAAGCTTAAGAAGTAAAACTTGTCCAAACTCAAACAGCAGAATAAGGGAGAGCCCAGTGGACTCTTGTCTCCCGTGTTTTTCCCACTCTTCGAAAGATCTCTGGGTTGGGACAAAGGAAAGGGCAATTAAAAGGAATATTTAGAAGACACATCAAGGCTGGGGATGTAGCTCAGTTGGTAGAGTGCTTTCCTCGCATGCACAAGGCTCTGGGTTCAATCCCCAGCACCACAAAAAAATGAAAAAAGAAGATACATCAGGGGCTGGAGGTGTAGCTCCCTGATAGAGGGCTTGCCTAGCATGCATATGGCCCTAGGTCAATCCCAGAACCATCCCCCAAAAGACCCTTTAGGTTATAACTTACAGAGACCAACTCATACTTACCTTAAAAAAAAAGAAGAATTTAATTGATCTGTAGAGCTGAAAAGTGTAAGAGATTGAAAGTCCCAGGCACAGGGGACCCAGGAAGCCTAACACGGTCAGGGCTCTCTCTCGTCACTGGTTCCCAGGTGAGCCATCCTTACACAGTGACATAATTATAGCAAGAGATATTTATTGACTACTCTCTTTGAGCCAGACATTATTTTAAGCACTTTTTGTTTATTAAATCAATTATTCCTACCTCATTTTGCAGATGAGACAAAAGTAGATGTAAAGAATTAACCAACTTGCGTGAGGTCACCCAGTCAGTAAGAGGCAGAGCTAAGACTCAGATCCACTCTGATACATACTATTCATAGACAGCCACCAGCAGCCTGGAATGTGCCTCATCCTGGAACAGATGAGCACATTCAGCGCTGTCACAACCAGCACTACCGTCTCCATCCCTGAGCAGCCCTGGATGGCCCTTCTTGGGTCCTTGCCTGTCCATAAGCCAGTCACTTGGGGCACTGGTGGAGCCACTGCAATTGTCCCTTGAGTCTTGCCCACCTCTGTGGTACAGAAGGTGAGACCTGGTGGTAGATGGCCCAGAGGTTAGAAAGGAACCCTTCTAGAGAGAGAAAGGTGGCAGGCAGGAAACCAGCAGGAACAGACATCTCCTACTGAGCTCTTTGCTCTTCTGAGCTCTGAGAAGCTGCCAAGAATGGCTCCACCTGCTCCTTCACCCACCTAGCTGTGACAGAGCCCCGCCCCCAGCTGCAAGGACACGGTAGGTACTGATGCCAGCACCTTGGGCTGGCCCCCAGGGCTGAGTGAAGGGCACGCAAGATGGGTCAAACAGTCCCTGCCCTCAGAGTTCTCTTGGCTGACAGAAGGCCAGCAAAGGGAGAAGCAGCCTGTAATTCAGGCAGTATGAGTGCTGCGATCACAGGGTGCACAGAGGATGGGGTTTCCTAGTGAGAAGCATTGGAAAGGACTCCCAGAGAAGCGGCCCGCCAACTTCATCTAGAAGCCCTTCTAGAAGTGCAACTAGAAGTGCAGCCGTGGCCAGGTGAGGAGGGGCTTCCCAGAGAGGGAGTGCATCTGCACAGAGGGGAAGAGAAGAGGCAAGGTGGTGACAGAGCCACTGGTAATGCAACAAGCCCAGGTCCCTTGGGAGCGGGAGAGAGCCAGATGGAACGGGGAGGTTGAGGAGGCTGTATCATGGAGGGCTCGCATCCAGTCCAGGACCCAACAGAGAGTCAAGTAGAGGGATACAGGATGATGTGTTCAGAGCAGAGAAAGGTCTGGAAAGGCAGAGGGTGGAGACAGGGAGTTCAGGGCTCAGGTGAGGAGGGTCTGAGCAAGACAGTGTCACAGGACTGGAGAGGACTCGAGCCAAAGTAACAGGACTCAGGAGGACTCCAGATTTGGAGAGGAGAAGGATAAAGATGATCTGCCAGGTGTGTGGGTAACTCCACTCCCAAGCACGATGGTAGGATTAGCCACAACAGGGATTCCTTCCTGCAGAACAGGTCAGTCTTTTGGACAAGGAGCCAGTTGGAGAAGATGAGGATTTTAGAATCATGAAGAATATAGTTAACTCAGTTTTTTAGTAAATACTTTGTGAGCTTTTACAGAGTGCTAGACTCTAGGACACAGTGGTAAGAGTAGCTATCAGCTGGTCATGGTGGTGCACGCCTGTGACCCCAACCACTTGGGAAGCTGAGCGGGAGGCTTGCCTGAGCAACTTAGTGAGATTCTTTCTCAAAATAAAAAATGAAAGGGCTGAGGATATAGCTCAGTGGTAGAGCAACCCTGGGTTCAATCCCCAGTACCATACACACACATACACAGCATTCATGGGCTGAGGTTGTGGCTCAGCGATAGAGCACATGCCTAGCGCACGTGAAGCCCTGGTTCAATCTTTAGCTCTACATAGGGATAAATAAATAAAATAATGGTATTGTGTCCAACTACAACTAAAAATAAATAAATAAATATTTTTTAAAATAGCATTCATTAAAACTAATGTCTAACCAGATCACGGTCATTTTTCATAGTGCTGAGCTGCCCAGCTGTGGCTATGCCCAAAGCCAGCTTTTTCCCAAATGCAGCAGAGAATGGGCTGTAGAGCACAGATGGATGTTCGCCAACTGGCATTCTCACTGGGAAACACTCAAAACCTTCGTGAGGTGGCACAGAAGGAGTACTGGCCTGGCATTCAGATGCATATTCTTGTTCCAGCTCTGTTTTATGACCTTGTTTAGGTCACAACTACATTGAGCCATAATTTCCTCATCTCTAAAATGGAGCTAATAGCCAGGTGCCATGGCACATACCTGTAATCCCAGCAGCTTGGGAGGCTGAGGCAGGAGGATCAAGAGTTCAAAACCAGCCTCAGCAACTTAGCAAGGTCCTAAGAATTTGGCAAGACCCTGTCTTAAAATAAAACATAAAAAGGTCTGGGGATGTGGCTCTATGGTTAGGCACCTCTGGGTTCAGTCCCTGTACCAAAAAATCAATTCAATTCAATGGAGCTAATAGTTGCTGCCTCAGATACCTCAACAGACTCTTAACTCAACTGAGGGAATATAAACAGTAATCTTTGCAAATGCTGAACTTCTCTATACATCTGATTAGGAGCTGGCAAATTTTTTTCTTAGAAGAGCCAAATAATAATAATTTTAGTCTTTGCAGACCATCCCATCTCTACTGTGACTACCCAACCCTGCCATTTTAACAGGCATAGATATTACATAAACAAGTGAGTATGGCAGTGTTCCAGTAAAGCTTTTATTTATAAAAACAATTTATGGGGTTGGCGGTATAGCTCAGTTGGTAGAGTGCCTGCCTCAGATGCCCAAGGCCCTGGGTTCAGTCCCCAGCACCACAAAAACAAACAATATTTATAAGTCATATTTGGGCCATAGGCCATAGTTTTCAGCCCCATATTAGGTGCTAGAGATCTTTAAGGGTCAGTCGCCCAGGACTGAAGAATGGTATGCCTTAGAGCTGATGCCTGGGAATCAGGATCAGTTAAAGAAACCAACATGGGTTATACACCTACTGTACACCTACTGTGTACTGGGCACAGTGATAATCTGTATAGATGTCCTCTCATGTAACCTTGGCACTGTAAGTGTTCTTCTCTGCATTTTATGCATCAGAAAACTGAAACTCAAGAAAGGTTGAGTGAGCCATGGTGGCACACACCTGTAATCCCAGCAGCATAGAGGCTGAGGCAAAAGAATTGAAAGTTCAAAGCCAACTTCAGCAACTTAGCAAGGTCTTAAGCAATTTAGTAAGACCCTATCTCAAAATAGAAAATAAAAAGGGCTAGGGCTTAGATCAATGTAAAGCGCCCCAGTTCAACTCCCAGTACCAAAAAAACAAAAAAGGTGGAGTGATAATTTGAAGTGGCAGAGCCCATTTTTAAGTAGATATCTCCAACTCTAGAATCTGAGGATTTCTACTATAAACCCTGAAAGCCCTTCTTGCTGACCATCTCACCCAGGACCTCTTGAGAAGAGAGTTAGGGACTGCTGAATCCTAGAAATCCCTGTCAAAGGCTGAATTTCCATTGTCCTGCGGTAAAAGGAATTAGAAAACACCCTTGAAGCCAGGCGCGGTAGCATATTCCTTCTGTAATCCCACGGCTTGGGAGGCTGAGGCAGGAGAATCGCGAGTTCATAGCCAGCCTCAGCAACATGAGATGCTTAGCAACTCAGTGAAACCCTGTCTCTAAATAAAATACAAAATAGGACTGGGAATGTGGCTCAGTGGTCGAGTGCCCCTGAGTTCAATCCCTGGTACCAAAAAAAGAAAAAGAAAACACCCTTGATTTTACATCTGGAAGGCCTCACACCAGGCTCTGAGTATAGTCAATGACGGCCGAGGGGAATGGGCTTGATGATTATGAACCAGACTGGGTGAACCCTAGAAAATGCCCAGGCATCTTTTGGATGCCAAAGGGATCCTTTAATTTCATCTCATATGTTCTCAGACCTACTCTAAAACCTGCATGACCTTTAATAGCATGTTCCTCCTCTCCTCCCCAGTCCTGGCCCCTAAAGTCCATGTTGTTTGTCGCTCTTGTGGCACAATTGGTAATTGCCTGGTTGTTATGGTTTAGATATGGGGTATTCTCAAAAGCTCTTGTGTGAGACAATGCAGGAATGTTCAGAGGTGACCTGATTAGATCATGGGAGGTGTGACCTAATCAGTGGATTAGTCCACTGAAATGGATTAACTGGGAGATAACTACTGGTTAGTAGGGTATGACTGGAGGAAGCAGGTCACTGAGGGCGTGCCTTTAGGGTTTACCGTTTGTCCCTGATTAACAGAGCTCACTCTATGCTTCCTGATTGCCATTTCTTGAACTGGTTTCCCCTGCCACGCCCTGCCACCATGATGCTCTGCGCAGAGTTATGGAGTTGGCTGACCATGGACTGAACCTCTGAAACTGTGAGACAAAACAAAATTCCTCCTCTATGTTGCTCTGGTTGGGTCTTTTGGTCACAATGACACAAAAGATGACTAAAACCTGGGCTATCCCCTGCTTCCCACAACTGGGCCACACGGTACCAGGACATTGAGAGACTCCCAGGAACTAGATAGCAGGCCTAGCTGAGGGCTTGGGAAGTCAGGCCAAGGGCCCCTGCCACATCAGGGCCACCAGGCACTAAGCCAGCAAGTCTCCACACGGTTTCTCCAAGATGCTACAGTGAGGATGTGTGGAGGCAAAGCTTGAGTGTGACCCCAAGACCTGTTCTCTTCACGTCTTCTTCATACCCCATCCTGCCTGTCCCCTTGTCCAGTCCTCACCAAATCCTGTTGATTATGTTTCCAAAGGAGAACTCAAGCCCAGCCTTTCTTCTTCATCCCCACTGCCAGTCTTAGTTGAGGCGGCCATCATCAGAGACCTCGTCCCCCACAAAAGCCTCCTGGCTGCACCCACCCGCTTCCACACTGCCTCTCCCCACCGGGCTCTTCCCCCAGCAGTAGAATGATTTTAGAGCAGACATGAGACCACCTTGGCCCTCAAAGCTCATTAGAGTCTTGCCAGTCTCTAAATAAAACCCACTCTCTGTGCTATGGTCCTGAGCCCCATGCTTGTAAACTGCAGATTAGTGACATCAATCTAGTGGGTTACAAATGGAATTTTTTTCTTATTACTAAAATTAAGCAGAATAGAAAAATAATAGCAGAGTATATCACACATAGTATGTTTGCTTTCCATATCTATGACAAAATATCTGAGATAAAAAAGGAAAGGTGTATTTTGGTTTCACGGCTTCTAGTCCATGATCAGTTAGTTGTTCTTATTGCCTTGGGCCTGTGGCAACAGAACATCATGGCAAGAACACATGGCAGAGGAAGCCTGTCTACTTTGTGGTGGCCAGGAAGCAAATAAAAAATAAGAGGAGGGCTGGGGCTGGGGCTCAGTGGTAGGGCACTTGCCTGGCACATGTGAGGCCCTGGGGTCATCCTCAGCACCACATAAAAATAAAGAAATAAAATAAAGGTATTGTGTTCATCTACAACTAAAAAAAATTTTTTTAAAGAGTAAGAGAAGGGGTCACAGTCCCAATAGACCCTTCAAGGTCACACTCCCATTGACCTAACTTCCTTCCACTGGGGCCCATCTCCCAACAGTGCTACAGGCTATAGATCAAGTCTTCCATACTTGGGCCTTTGGAGGACCTTTCAGATCCAAACTGTAGCACACAGTAAGGATGTATATTGTTCCATGAAACTCTGGCTTCTGTATATATACTCAGTTATGTATATGTGTGTACTAGTTCACAGTGGAACTCGTGGTTACCATGAGTCAAGGTCCTGAAAGTCTGTATGACTCTCAGCATCTCAAGCCACTCCTCCCAGCACTCTTTGCCCTCCAGTGTGTATTCTTCCATTTCATCCTTTTTAAAAAAAATTCTTTTTTACATGTGGATAGACCTTTATTTTATTCATTTATCTATATGCCGTGCTGAGACTCAAACCCAGGGCCTCACACATGCTAGGCAAGTGCTCTACCACTGAGCCACAACCCCAGCCTGCCCAGTCCCATCCTTTTATATGTCTTGCCTCAGAGTCTTTGCATATGCTTTTTCCTCTGCATAGAATGTTTTTTGTGTACTTGAAGTGGTTAATATCTCTGTCCTAGCCATCCACCTAAATCCCTCTCCTGCTACTGTCTCTTTATAAATTATAATTTTTGCCGGTTGTGGCACATACCTGTAATCCCAGTGACTCGGGAGGCTGAGGCAGGAGGATTGCAAGTTCAAAGCCAGTCTCAGCAACTTAGTGAGGCCCCAATTCAGTGAGACCCTATCTCAAAATAAAACATAAAAGAGGGCTGGGGATATAGCTCAGTAGTTAAGTGCTGCTGGGTTCAATCCCCAGTACCAAAAAAATAATAAGTTTTAATTCTTGTATTTGCCTGTTTGTTTTTCACCTGCTCTGCTCCTCTAGAATGAATGTAAGGAATGTAGCTGAGCATGTGGTGAGTGCGTATAGTCAGATTTACTCAAAGAGCTAAGGAAGGAGGGTCACTTGAGCCCAGAAGTTCAGGGCCAGCCTGGGAAACACAGCAAGACCCCATCTATTAAAAAATAAAAAGAAACGAAGAAAGGATCAGTTGAATGAACATAGGTTTGTGAGTATGTGTGAATGTGAGTGTGTGTACGTGTGTGTTTTATGTACTTGGCCATGGAGATAGCCCACACACCCAGGGTCTAGCTCACGCTCTACCCAGATTACCCCCATGTCTTTGGGCAGGTCCCTCCCTCAGTGCCTCTCATTGCGGGAAGGGTTTGATACTTGATAAAGGCCTTCTCGGTACCAATAGTCTATGATTCTTTGTCTGGACGTAGAATGTGGGCTGGTGGTTAATGATCATTTCTTCCAGTTTACAGGATTTCTTAGTCTCCTGTATTTCATTTGATTTTCACAACAGCTCCTAGGAAAGCCAATAAGGCTGTTCTTACCAGTGTCATTTATACTTTAGAATCACAAAACTCAGTGGCTTGGGAATTTGATCAAACTAACAGACTAGAAAAAACAAGTACCACCAGGTACTGTGATGCATGTCTGGAATCCCAGTGTCCCAGGAGGCTAAGACAAAGGATCACAAGTTGAAGGCCAGCCCAGGCTACTCAGCAAGTTAGTGAGTCCTTGTCTCAAAAAATAAAAAAGGCTAGAATGTGTCTCAACAGTAAAGCACCCCCAGCTCAATCCCCAGAACCAGAAAAGCAAAAAAGAAAGAAAAGAGAAAACCCAGGTGCCAAATCTGAGCCCTTGACTTCTGCCTTGACACTGTTTCCTAACACCAGCCCAGGCAGCCTGCCCTGGAGGAGAATGAGGATATGGCGGGAAAGGGGGCTTTCTTGGCTTCCCTTGCCCTACTGTTGCATTACTGTCTTGCCTTCAGAGTCTAGTAGCTTGGGGTCCTCAGGCACTAGTGCTGTGACATCAGCTAAATCCAATAACTCAGTGAGGCAACCTCTTCGAACCTCCCCTACCACATTTTTAAAATAGGAATAACAAAACGTACTTGTGTAATCATCATGAGGACTCAAAGACTTCAAAGGGGACTTCAAGATTTTCCTTTTCCTTTAAGCATTACTTAAAATCTACTGTCCTAGATGCCCATGGACCAAAGACTGATCTGGGATTTGGTGGGCAGAGGGATCCTCCTCACTAACCTGGCCTCATCCCCTGACTCAGGAACCTGGCAGACCGAGGCCGTGTTCAGTGAGAAAGCATTGATCCAAGTTCCCAATGACATCCCTCTTCAGAGTGCTGCCACCCTGGGTGTCAACCCCTGCACAGCCTACAGGATGTTGGTGGACTTTGAGCAGCTGAAGCCAGGTAGGAACTTACAAGTAGGGAAAGCAGGCCAGGGCCTCCTCACCAGGGTGCACCCAGATCCTGACTGGGGGGTGGAAGGCCTGGGAAGATGAGGGGCCCCTGCCTCAACAAGTGTGCTGCTATCGTTTTTACTTAGGAAGATGTTAACTTGGGGGCTGGGGCTGGGGCTCAGCGATAAAGCACTTGTCTAGCACGTGTGAGGCACTGGGTTCAATCCTTAGCACCACATAAATAAATTTTTTTTTTTAATATTTATTTATTTATTTTAGTTTTCGGCGGACACAACATCTTTGTTTGTATGTGGTGCTGAGTATCGAACCCGGGCCGCACGCATGCCAGGCGAGCACGCTACCGCTTGAGCCACATCCCCAGCCCTATAAATAAATTTTTTTAAAAAAGGTATTTTTCCATCCACAACTGAAAATATATATATAAAAGATGTTAACTTGGTTCCTAGAAAACACCCTGCGAGCTCACAAGGAGTACAACCTTGGAAACTGCTACAGGGTCACATTCCCTAGAGCTTGGGATGGAATTCTGTCACTCAGCAAAAATGTGTTGAGCTGTGCTAAGCTCTGGGGACACAAAGCCAGACAAGATAGACACAGTCTCTGTGTTTTCAGTAAAATGCTGAACTTAGTGTTACTAATTCTGCTCAGCATTAATACAGCACTTTCCATCCGTAGGTGCGTGTGCAGGCATTATCCCCATGGAGTGTTTCGCCTTCAAAGCTGTGCAGGGAGCTTAATGTCACTGGTTAAGAGCTCAAGGCCCAGGCACACAACCTAGGTCTGAACCCAGCTTCACCTTCACTAGCTGAACTCATGGCTCAAGTCAGCAGAGTTTTCATCCTTAGGATGGAGAATAAGGAGGGTTGATGAACCACAGCAGCATGACACTTAGCACAGCAGCCGGCCTGCTGGGCATGAAGTACCAGCTGCTTTTATTAGTCTTCCTTAGAGAGGTGAACTACTTGCAAGAAGTCCCTCAGCAAGTAAACAACAAAGCCATGTGTTTTATCTGGGTTCCCCTGAAAGCAGAGCCCTAGACCAGGAGTGGGACCAGGCAGTTCTTTTGGGTAGTGGTCACAGGAAGGCAAAGACATTAAGGCCAGTTAGTGCTGTGGGCAACCCGACTCAGTCCCACTAGGACTCCACAGAGACCCTCATGGAGCTCACTCTAGAATTAGCCCCAAGTGACAGGAGGCTGGGCCAATTTTCCACCAACTCCCATCCCCCGTGGTTTGGTTTGGTTTGGTTTGGTTTACAGTAGTGGGGATCCAACTCTGGGCCTCATGCTTGCTAGACAAACACTCTACCACTGAGCTGCACCCCCAGCCCCCACACCCCCACCTTTTGCAAGTTGCCCCTGCACCCTGCATATCCATGAGCTGGCAGGAACTATAGAAATGCCCCAGGCTGCCTCTCTCATGCCAGCAAGGACACTGAAGCCACGTGCTGATGGAATGTGATGGAGCTGGGTAGGCAGCTGCTGCCTGAGGCCTGGGGGGACACTGATCCCAGCTCATGGAGAGCAGTGTGGCTTTTCAGGGCTATGCAGAGGGGTCTTGGGAGCTTTCCATGGAAAAAGTCAGGAGGTGGGACCAGGGACCTCTGCTGGAGTCCTAGTATAGCAGACACTGTGGCACCTGCATTACATCCCCTCAAACCACTCCTGATTTGGGCTGCAGCTGTGGTGGACAAATCTGCACATTTTGATGATACCCACCGTGCCCACTGGACCCTTCTCCACTTGTCTGCTTCAAGGCTATTGTAGCCCGGGCTAGATCAGCATTGAACAAACCTAGAATCTTGACCCATAGTAAGAATCACATTTCATATTGTTATCTAGTACATACACATGTATGAAAATTATAAATATATATGAAACCAAAGCTTCACAGCACAGTATTTGTCCTTTACCTGTGAGATGCACTGTTATTTTTTATTCTTCTCAAATCTAACTAAAACAAAACAGTGCTGCCTGTGACCCTCTAGATTGAGTCACAGTGCACTAGGGAGTGAGAACCTATATGCTGACCCTGGCAGAGTGTGAACAGTCTTCTCTCAGGAGCCCTCTGTCTCTAGCTCCACCCACTGTGCACAGATCCCAGATACCTCTCAAACACCAGGGAGCATTTCATAGCTAACAGAGCACCTGCCTGGACACAAGAGCATTTGATTCCAGTCAGGGGCACCTTGATTGGTGCTCTTAGGATTCCTGTTTTCTGAGGAGAAAACTGAAGTTCAAAAAGGACACGACTTGCCTTGTCTTGTCTAGTTCGTCACTGGTAAAACTGGGACTCACCCAGTTCCATCTGTTCCAGAGCCATGTTCTCCCTAGTGTGCCCCACTGCCTCCCCCACTGCAAGTTCCAAAGCCAGTCCTGTGCTTTGACCACAAACTGCCTGCAGGACCCTGTTTCAGGGGTTGCCAGTTTGGTTTTTGTTGTTGTTGTTGTTTTGTTTTTTTGAGGAGAGAGAGAGAGAGAGAATTTTTTAATATTTATTTTTTAGTTTTCGGTGGACACAACATCTTTGTTTGTATGTGGTGCTAAGGATCAAACCCGGGCCGCACGCATGCCAGGCAGGCATGCTACCGCTTGAGCCACATCCCCAGCCCGAGTTTTTCCATCAAAACTCTTAATCCTATTTCAAAGCAGTACACCTTTATTCACTACTACATGGCCCTTCCCTTGAGAAGCTGCAAGTTGATAGATGCCGCCTCTACAACTGATTGTGGGCTGGGGCCACAGCATGTGATCAGTAGAGACACTCACAGCCTGTGTGGAAGCACAACAGGGAGAACCCAGGAGGGCTCCATGAAGAACCACACTTGAGCTGATCTTTGAGGATCACATAGGATGTTAAAAGGAGGGGATCAGTTTCAACCCAAGGAAATAATCTAAGCAGACACAGAGGACACAGAAGTTGGGAGGATGATGAAGGATATAAAACCAGTTGGGCCTTAAATTATGTCCTCTGTGGACATTAAGTGACCAGTTCTGGAAGGCATAATGGATGTTACAGAAGTTTGGGAAGGATCGAGGAAACAGTGCGTTAAGGTCCAAAATCTGAGTTCCAAAGGCTTCAATGCCAGATCCTGGGTCCTTTTGGGGCCTGAACACTTCACCTCTTCCACTATCCTAGGATCCCAGGCTGGGAGTCCTTGACCTTTTTCAGGTGTGCAAGGCTTGACTTGGGTCTCTTCCTGGATCCACAGGGGACTCTGTCATCCAGAATGCATCCAACAGTGGAGTGGGGCAAGCAGTCATTCAGATCGCCGCAGCCCTGGGCCTAAGGACCATCAATGTAGTCCGAGACAGGTGGGTGGGGAGGCCTAATTCCAGATCATGACTTGGACCTTTTCCTCTGGCATCCCTGCCAGTGCTCATATCTCCACCAGAGGGTGCCATTGCATAAGCCTAACTGGCCTCCTTTACTGAGGAACAGTTGGCAGCTGAAGCTGATGAGTCAGCCCCAAGAAATGAAGTCCAGGTGGCACTTGGTTATAGGATGAGTGAATCTGAAATGTGGAGACACGGGAAGGAGGTGGAGATTGTTGTTACTGAACAGCTAGGAGTTTTGGAAACGACTTCTGATACCCCCATGTGTTTACAACCACAGTGAACATGTGGGAATGTTTTGAGCTGTACTGTTCTTCCTGCGAATTGTCAAGCCCTGGGCCACTCTTCCCCTTGCATTTGTGCACTAAATTCTACTGTGAAGGAAATGGAGCAGGTTTCTCCTCTCTTTTACAGATGAGGAAACTGAGTTTCAGAGAGACAAGGCAGCTTGTTCAGGAAGAGTCGGCAACAGGCTCGTTCTCTGATTCTTGCCCAAGAGACCAGGGCCACTCCTCGGCCACAGTGTGTTTGCGTTTGCACAACACCCTGATTGCCCCTGGAAAAGTCGGGGGAGGTTATTATTTCAGTAGAAAATTTTAGGAAGTGGGATCACTTCTTTCTGGGCACAGATGGTTTCTAGCACCCCTGAGCTGGCAGAGGCTGCAGAAACCTCCCAGCCCTGGCTCTGTCCAGGGAGGAATGGCCGGCAAGGAAACAAGGCTAGGAGCTGCTGGCACAGGATTGAATTGTGTGGCTGGCCCCTGCTCGAGGCCTGGCTTAACCCAATCCCAGCCTCCCAGAAAAGAAATATGGATTCTTACAGCTGTAGCAGAGGAGTCCTGGCAGCTTTGGGGAGAGAAAGCCAGCAGGTATGATGAGGGACTTTGGATTGGGTTTGATTTTCAGGCCTGACATCCAGAAACTGATGGACAGACTAAAGGATCTGGGGGCCGAGCATGTCATCACAGAGGAGGAACTAAGAAAGCAAGAAGCAAAAAACTTGTTCAAGGTACCCAGGGAAAGGGCATTGCTTCTCCATCCCACGCCCATCTCCTAAGGAAAGCTTTTGCTCCTGTCTGCACCCCTCCTTTTGCCTCTTGTAAAGCCTGTTCCCTTAGCCAAGGGGCAGCTTGCATGAAGTGTTCAGATGCTTGAGGGAAGCAGGGGAAACTAAGAAAGTTTAGAAAATCCTGTATGATTTGCAGTTTAAAACATTTATGCTGAGTTACATCAGCCCGTACTGCAGATATAAATCTTAGAGTTGGGAGAGGACCTGAGGAAACTTGAGGCACAGAGAGGGAAGAGAAAAGAGTCAACCATTCCTAAGCTTCTGCCTCCGTTTTACCTGATAATTCCCAGGTAAGTCCCAAGTCCTGAGTCTCTTTCAATGAGGAAACCCACACTCAGAAAAGATAAATGACTTGACCAGAATCATGTAGATATAAGTAGTGCATCAGGGCTGGCCCCAGGGGTCTCTGAACGTAGAGCCCTGGCCCTTCCACAACGTCTGCCCTCGTCCCACAACTCCCAGTAAGTGAGCAAACCCTGTCACCACCCCTGTTAAGTGAACCAGCTGGAGACACCAAACACATGCACCCACTCAGGAATGTATGCCCCTTGAGAACGTTTCTGGAGCTCTAGACCAACACATCACATGTAAACAGAGTCTAAAGTACCCAGCTAAGGAGCACTCAGGGACCTAAAGCCGCTCAAAACTGACCACAGATGCTCCATGTCTCTTCTTTCCCGGAGGAGGCATGTTTTGAACCAAGTCCTGAATCGAACACTGATTCAGTTAACACATGCTGAGCACTCACTATCTACCAGGTACAGAGATGGCTGAGATACTATGGGAGAACTCACAGGCTGGGTGGGCAGATGTGCCATGTGACCCGAGAGCTGGGAGGAGGATCACAGAGCACCTGCCTCTGTAAAGCCTGTTCCGAAGTTGCTGAAGGCTCCTCCCAGGCAGAAAAAGCAAGTTCAAAGCCATGACCACCCCATTCCCTTCACTCCCTCCTTTTGACACTGCACGGGTCAGGGAAGTATTTGTAGAAGCTTCAAACCCACGCGTAAAGGGGTAGCTCCCTCACGGCAGACTTCTTGTTTTCCAGAACACACCCCAGCCACGGCTTGCTCTCAACTGTGTTGGCGGGAAAAGCTCCACAGAGTTGCTGCGGCATTTAGCGTAAGTCCCTCTACCCTACAGGGCTAGTTTGCTCAAGCTTCTAGGTCACTGGCTGGGAGGACATCAAGTGACCAAGTCCCAATGGTCAATGTGAGCCAAAACCAGATTAGCACAACGTTGAGTAGGAAACAAGGACCAAAAACATCCAGCTCCCTGGGCACTTCTTTCTCAGTCTCCTCCTATATGGGACCAAGAGACCTGTTTCCCAGGGACTCCAGCAATCAACTGCTAAGCTCTCCATCACAGGATGGTCAAGGATTCATAAATTTTGGGCCTCTTAAAAGTCACTTAGTCTGAACTTGGTAGCTTTTAAAATTTTCATTAGCTTTTAAAACTAGATTCTAATTTACAAGTAACATTATACCTATTTCAAAACATTTTGAAACATGTAAAAGTACAAAGAAAAACCTAAAGGTTCTCTCATCCCTCAGCCAAGCACCATGGCAGCATTATCTGTGCACATTCTGTCCTTTCCTCTGACATAAACGTCAGCTGGAGAGCCCCTGAAAAGACTTGCCAACTAGAGCAGGAGTCCCCTCCACACTGATTTAGTTAATAATCTGCTGAGCATTCACTAGCTACCAGGGACAGAATTGGCTGAGACACTGCGGAGAACTCACGGACTAGGTGGGCAGATGAGCCACGTGACTAGAGAGCTGGGCGGAGGATCACTGAGCACATGCACCTGCCTCTGTGTGTGCTGTTTGAAGTGTTTTAATTCTGTTTTTCCCCCCTTCTTTGGTGCTGGAAGTTGAACCCAAGGCCATGTGTGTACTGACACATGTTCTGACACCAAGTTACACCCCCAGGCCCCTCACCTCCATTTTACACTTAAAGCAAATGAGTCCCAGAGGAGGTAATTACTTTGCCAAAGGTGTAGTCAGCAGAGAGCCAGGTCACCCAAGTTTGCATGACTCTGGAGAACATCTCTTGAGCCCTAAACTTAGCAACCTCTTAGGCAAACTGTGACCCCCATGTCTTTGCCAGAGAAAGCATTGTGTGCTGGTCACAAGTGTAGGCATTGGAGTCAGAGTGGCTAGGTTCCAGCCCTAACTCTGCTCTTGCCAGCTGTGGACCTGTGGAAAGTTAGGCAATACCTGAAAAATGATCCAAGCTTCAGCCCCTTCATCTCTACAGTGGGAGTGATAGAAACCCATTCTGCTTCCAAGAATAATCTAAAGGACACTGCACGATATACAAATAACTCATTATTCAATTGAGGAATGGATTTAAGTTTTCTCATTTGCAAAATGAGCGTATCCAAGTGTTCCCTTGGGGTCACTATGAGGATGCCCTGAGATGGTACACGCAACATGCTCAGAACTGTGCCTGGCATTGTAGACAGTAAAAGTCTGATCAGCCAAGTGCAGCAGGGACACAGAGGAGAGAGGGCTCAGTCCCCTCAGGAACTGCGTTCTATAGCAAGCACCCGTTGAAGGGAACTTTAGATCAAATTAGGGCCTGGGGCTGCAGCTCGGGTAGAACAAGTGGGTGACGTGCAGGAGGCCCTGGGTTCAACCCCCAGTGCTAACATACAAGAAAATGATTAAACTCCCTAGCAGCCTCAGGGCCATAGTCACTCAGCTCTTCCATTTTGTAGATTGTAAGTCTGCCTTGTATTGTCCTAAAACACACTTCAGGTCATCCTTGACCTCAGACTCCTAAAAGAGCCAGGGAGTCAGGAGGGGAACAAAGGTCAAGTCAAGCATGACAAGTCCTAGCTTATTAGCTTTTAAAAATTATACTCACCTCACTCCTATGTACAACCAAGTGTGTGTATCACTCAGCAGCTACTGAGGCAGCACCTCCTACAGGGTCAGGACATTCATCATTGTCCCCTTCACCACCCACACTCACTCCTATCTGTAGAAGTATTGGGGCACTGATTTTTAGAATGAGCATTTACACATGAAATGCCAAGGTCTGGGCCGTTTCCCTTAGGTCTCCCAAGGTCCCAAAGTCACCCTCTTGTAAGCGGGAGCAGAGCTGGAGCTAGATGGCGGGATGCAAACCCAGACTGGGTGAGTGGGATCCGTGGGTTCCCAGCGCCGCTGAGCACCCCATTCATCTGGACGGTGGTGTGTGCTGTTGGTATAGATTCTTGCCTCCTGACTCCCTCTGTCAGGGTTGAGCGTAGGGATCTATTTTTTTTTTGCCCTTCCCAGGACAAGGTTTAAAAGTGAGGAGTAGAAGTGCTGTGGCAGGTTCAAGAAGGCCTCTCCTCAGCCTGCATCCACTCTTTGTTCTCTTTGGACTCTTCAGGCCTGGAGGAACCATGGTGACCTACGGGGGGATGGCCAAGCAGCCCGTCACAGCGCCTGTGGTGAGCTGCGGGGAGGATGCCAGCAGATGGGCCCAGATGCCTCGGCCTGTTCCCTTGGCACCACACTCTGACCATTTTCCTGTCCCTGGGGGGATTCTATACCCTTAACGGGTACCTGGAAGTTTTACCCTTCCAGCCCAGCATGTCCCTCCTGTGTCCACAGAGCCTGCTCATTTTTAAGGACCTCAAACTTCGGGGCTTTTGGTTGTCGCAATGGAAGAAAGATCACGGTCCAGGTGAGTGGGTGATGGCCCTGTTACCAAAGGTCACAGGAGACAGGAGTTCCTAGCATGGCTGCAGAAGGGACCAGCTACACTGAGCCCTACAGAGGTGACTGGGTCCTCAACACCATGGCAAGATAAAGGAAAATCATTCTAGCCACAGCTGCAGCCAGCAATGTTCTTGGACTAAACTGTTAGTTGTAGGGTCACAGTGTAGAATAAGACAGTGCTCTTGACAGCGACAGTGGGGAAGACGACCAAGTAAGGAGGGCAGACTGGAGCCAGCCCGCCTGTGTTTAAGTCCTGTGTCCACCCTCACGGGATCTAGGTCCTGCCTAGCCCACCTGTGGGACCTGGGGCAGGTTGCTGGATCTCTACCTCGGCTCCAACATCGTGATCATTTAAACTCTTGTGAGCCATGTTTGACAAAAGAGGAAACTAAGGTTCAGAGTGGCTAGAAAAACGCACCCCTATAATCCAGAGATTCAGGAGGCTGAGGCAGGAGAATTACAAGTTCAAAGCCAGGCTTAGCAACTTAGTGAGACTCTGTCTAAAAAAAGAAAAAAGAAAAAAAAAAGGTTGAGGATGTAGCTCAGTAGGTAGGCACCCCTGGGTTTAATTCCTGGGGTACCAAAAAAAAAAAAAAACGGAGTGGCTGAGCTTGCCCAGAGTCACCCCACCTAGAGAGCGGGGCAGCCAGCAGATAGGCTCTCTGACTCCAGAACCTGAGCCACAGCATGCTGTTCTTCCTGTCCCAGGGACCTGCACCCCAGAGAGACCTCAGCTGAGAAGGAAGACTGACATGGAATTATCAAGTGAAGGGAGGGCGCCCTGCTGGGCCGAGGGTGTTCAGGCAGAAACAGCAAAAGCCCATAAAAGAGAGTGTGACTCATGGGGCACCACCGTGGTCCTGAGGGAGTGGAGCTTTCAGTCTGGGCTGGGGCTGGGAAGCTGGACAGGCAGGTTCAGACCAATTACAAAAGGCCTTAAGCCTTTTTAAGGAGTTCAGGCTCTGTCCTGAAGGCAACTGGGGAGTCACTAAGTGTTTTTAAGCAGGACAAAGGATTAGATTCGAAGGTTGAATGAGGCTATGTCTATGAAAAGCACCTCGGCCAAGGCTTACTTGACCTCTTCCAGCACCATACTGGGTCCTTAGCAGGAGGCAGGTTCAGGGAGGGGAGGGCAGTGGCCTCAGCTCGAGGGGTTCTGAGGGAGTCCTGGGCCGTAGGGAGAGCAGAGCTCATCTGTTCCACGTGAGCTGGTGTGGCAGGCTCTCCCGCCTCCCTCCTGGGGCCCTCTGCCTTCCCTGCCTCCAAATAATGGTCCCCACCCTCCTGCCTATCAGTAGCCAGCCCGGTCCCAGCAGCACTGTGTGGGTGTGAGCCATGTTAGCCACCACTCAGAAGGGTCTCTGCCTGCCCAGGAGCTCCTTGGCTCCCACCCCATCGTCCTCTGACCCCATCTTGGCCCTCACTGTCCTGAATCCAGGTGGGACCAGGCTGCTTCCACCGCCACCCCATCCTTAACAAAGGCAGGGCGTCCACAGGAAGTCCACCTGCCATCTCGCCAAGCCCCAGCTGTTGTCCCCCATCTGACTTCTTCCCACAGACGAGTTCCAGGGGCTGATTCTCACTCTGTGTGACCTCATCCACCGAGGCCAGCTCACAGCCCCTGCGTGCTCAGAGGTCCCACTCCAGGACTACCAGCGGGCCTTGGAAGCCTCCATGGAGCCCTTTGTGTCTTCCAAGCAGATTCTCACCATGTGAGCTGCAGCTGGAGGGGCAGTGAGTGGGTGGGGGGAAGTGGACCCACCAGGCTGGCTTCAGGCCCTTCAGTTAGGGCCCAGCCTTCCCCAGACTGCTCTCCACTTGCTGCCTCTTCCCCCAGGAGGATGGGGAGGTCAGCCTTGGGCATCTAATAAAGTCTGAACATCCTTAAAAAAAAAAAGGCAAAAAGAATAGAAGTCATCTCTACAGAGCGGCCACACTGTGCACCTCCACCTGCAGCACGAGGAAGCGCCCCTCCCTGATTCTCCTTCACCTGTCCCTGCGATCATTTCCTGACCACCTGAAAGCAAAACTTGTGTGAGCGAGTGCAAGAGCCACAGCCAGTAAGCCACGGTGTCTGCCCTTAAGCCTGCACACCCACAGGGGAGAATCTTCCATAAAGGAGGACTGGACTCCCTTCCTGGCCAGTGTGTAGCCCAGCCCAGAGCAGGAGGATCTGTTGCCTGGAAGAGTGAATGCCAAACTAGATCATCCCAGCCTGGAAGAAACTGCAGACATGGGGTCTTGGGTGGCTGGATAACCCTTAGGAAGCTTCCACTCTAACCAGGGAAGTAGAGTTTATACCAGTGATTCACAGCCAGAGGCAACTTGACCCCCAAAGACATTTGATTATGTCTGGGAACATGTGGGCTGCCATGACTTGGAGAGGAGATTGTCATTGACCCCTAGTGGGCAGAGGTCATGATACATTAAACAGTCTACAAGGAGGGCAGGGGTGTAGCTTGCTGGTAGAGCACTCGCCTGGTATGCTTAAGGCCCTGGGTTCAGTCCTCAGCAACACACACACACACACACACACACACACACACCTCTACAGTGCACAGAACAGTTCCCACAATAGCCATCCAGCTCAAAACCTGCATGAAACAACCTCACAGTCACCATCACAGTGACTGGTGCTTTAGAGAAGGCACATGTGCGGGACTGTGAACCAGGGCAAGGCTTCTTTGAGGAGACATTGGCAAGAGGACCCTGAAACATGGGTAAGGTTCATTCAGGCAAGACAAGTGGGACTTTATGTGATTCTTTGGTGTTTGTTTCATGATCCTCTTGCCCAAAGCAAAGAACAAACTTTGGGATGTCTCCCTTGTCACCTGTCCTTCTGTACCCTTAACTCAAGAGCCTTATTCAGGGAGCATTTATTGAGAGGCTTGTGTGTGCCCAAAGAGAGGCGCACCAGTAAAAGATGTCATGCCAGCCCTCAAGTTGCTTAGCCTAGTGCAAGGGACAGACCATTACATATAAGGGTGAGGTTTTGGGGTGGGACCAGAAGGGGCCCAGCTCTGCTTGAGGGTGTCAAGGAAGAATTCCCAGTGGAAATCCTGTGTACAGAAATCTTTTATTCGTTTTTCGTTGTCAGTGGGCCTTTATTTGTATGTGGTGCGAAGAATCAAACCCAGTGCCTTACACATGCCAGGCAAGCACTCTACCACTGAGCCACAGCACAGAAATCTTTAAGGCCAAATGGGAAAATGTATACCAAGCAAAGCCAGAAATATGAGAGTTTGGAGGCCAGAGGGGTCCTGACTTGGGGGTTGCTAACAATCCAGTGTAGCTACTGCCTAAGGAGGAGGGGAATGAGAAAGGGGGTGGGAAAGGTGGGTGGGGTCAGATCATAAAGGGTCTTGAAGCCAGAATACCCTGAAGCTCTGAGAGAGCACTGGGGAAACTGGCCAACAGGGTTCAGTTGCATGTGAGTGCACACACACATCCCCCAGCAGAAACAGGTTACCCCTGGGAGCAGCTCCTATATCCCCCAGCAGAAACAGGTTACCCCTGGGAGCAGCTCCTATATCCCCCAGCAGAAACAGGTTACCCCTGGGAGCAGCTCCTATGTCCTCCAGAGAAAAGGACCCAGCTTCAGCTTGAGCCTGGGAATGACCTGCAGGTGCCCCTGGGTATTGCCATGTTGTACACCTGGCTCAGGATCAGCCCCAGCTCCCCATTCCCAGTTGCTAGATTAGTGGGATGGGAGATACGTACAGAGGGCCAACGTGGGCAAGTGAGGAAGCTTGAAAGTGAGAGGCAGCGGTCCATAGGCTGTAGGAGTGAAAGTTAAGATGAGGTTTTGCAGGAAAACCCACAGAGTTGGGGCGTAGAGAGCGCAGTGAGACCGTGGGCGTGGTGAGGGAGGCTCTGGGACTACTCCAGGAAAAGGCCGACAGGGAGAAGGGGTTTGGTAACAGCAGGCTTGGAGATCTGGAGGATCATTTGAAATGAGAACACTGAAGGGAGTTATGCGTTGTACTTTTTGGGGTCTGGAGGTGTAACACTCGGGCTGGTCTTCGAAGAATGGTTATAATGAGCTCAAGAAAGGGTAACAAAAATTACTAAGAAACCTGTCAAGCAAAGTTCAGAGGCAGAATATTGATCTCAGGACCTTTTTTCATTTTCCCTATCCGTTCCCTTCATTAGAATTAAAACCTAGAGCCTAGGCCTGGTAGTGCACACCTGTAATCCCAGCGGCTCTGGGAGGCTGACAGGAGGATTGCAAGTTCAAAGCCAGCCTCAGCAACAGTGAGGCACAAAGCAACTCAGTGAGACCCCGTCTCTAAATAAACTACAGAACAGGGCTGGGGGTGTGGCTCAGTGGTCGAGTGCCCCTGAGTTCAATCCCTGGTACCAAAAAAAAAAAAAAACAGGAGAATTAAAACCTAGAACTTTGAGGTGGGCATGTGGTAGGCTGGAGTAAACACTGGTTTTCCTGCTTCCCTTGCAGCCAACAAGGTCTGCCCTTGTGAGAGATGTTAGATGCCAGTTTCTTAGGAACCTTTTAGGATGTAGTTACCAGGTGCATCCTGTACCCTTTTCTTCCCCCTTTTACCTTCCTCCCAGCTGGGATACAAACGTGATTCCTGAAGGGTGCACAGCCATCTTTGACCACATTAAGAATGGGACAGAGAGAAAGTCAAAGGAGTCTGAGGCTTTGACTTCCAGAAGTCTCAACTGCCTACCTCAGGACCTGTTTTTCGAGATTTCACTGTCCCTAATCCTGAATGGTATCATTCAGTGACTTAACTTAAACTAAATCAAGCCAACCAATGTAAAGCTGAAAAAGGGAGTCCTGAAAGATGGTGATTCCCAGCTGGGACTGGAGGTTGACCTTATTGGCAGTAGGCGACAAAAGACCTCCCAGTGGAGCTGTGCTTTGGAGAAATCTCTCTGGTAGCAGGTCCAGGGACAATTTGGAGAGGCAGGCACTACAGAAAGTCAGAAGATTGGAATTTCAGACAAGTAAACCCGCCCCAGCCCTCCACAGCTAAAATTCAAACACCAACTAATGGCTGCCAGCATGAGGCTAGCAGAGGGGAAAAAACACACAAAATAATGTCAGAAGGGAATCTGACTTAAAATGGATCATCTTTTCTATACTAGTGCGAGACGACATTTCTAATCTTCAGACAATAATCTGGAAGACCAAGTGGAAACTGGCTCCAGAGCCTGAAGGCGCTGACTCCTAAGGCAATGCTCAGGCACACCTGAAGCCCTGGAGCTGCCTGCCTGCCTCTCCCAGTCCTCCCCAGGGAGCATCCACCCAGCGGCTCCCGCAGCCAGCACCACAGTGCTGATACATGTCTTGTCTTGGAGATGAGATAAATAAGCCCACTTTCCTCAGGAGGAGACTGAGGCCCAGAAGAAAGTTTCCTGTGAGAGCATCACTGTCCTTGTGCCTAGAAGCGCTTGGCAATGCCCACAGTGCTTATTGGCAGGCGCCATGCCCAGGATAGGGCACTGGGCCCAGCCATGACTGTTGGAAATGGTGGGGAAGAAATGCTCAGCCCCGCACTGCATCTGCCCACATGTGCAGGCAGGAAAATTCCTGGGAAGACAGCAGGTCTGGCCTGAAGGTAGATGGGAAGGAGACAACGGCATCTTCTGAAAGGGAAGAGAAATCTTTCCATATGTCCATAACCCTGCATTTAGCTTGCCTAAGGCTCTGGGTTCAATCTTCAGCATCACATTCAAAAGCAGGGATTATTTGTTGAGAGAAGGGGTTTCACTGTGTTATCCAGGCTGGTCTCAAACTCCTGGACTGAAGGGATCCTCCTGCCTCAACCATCCAAAGGCTGGGACTGTAGGCATGTGACACCACACCAAACTATAACTGCCCTGAACATACTACATGAAAGGCACTGTTAAGTATGCTAGGGACACAGAAAGAGAAAAAACAAACAAACAAAAACACGGCCCCTAGTACCAGCAAGCTTACATTCTAGTGACGGAGAAAGACTAAGAACAAGGGAATAAATAAGCTAATTCCAGACTGTAGTACTGTGAAAGAAAACACACAGGGCTGCCTTAACGCAGTAGGTATTTGATTTAAAGCAGACAAGGAAATATGAGGCCTGGATAGGGAGCCAGCCATAGTCCAGGCAGAGAGTAGCATGCGTAGAAGCCCTGATATGTGTCGAGGCCTAAAGTAGCTTGGGAAGAGAGAATGCTGAGAAGACAGACTTGTGAACATTTAGAAGGAAGAACCAAAGACAGACCAAGTGTGGGGATTGAACTTTAGTTCCTTGCTAGATAAATATGCCACTTCCAGAGTAAGGGAACTCCAGAGAAAGCAGGTTTGGGAGACATGCATTTTCTCTCTGTGGATTCTTTCCCTCCTGTACAACAGATTGATCAGACTATATGACAACCAAGGTTTAGTGCTTATTCTTTATTTTTTTTTTTTAGAAGAGAGAGAGAATTTTAATATTTATTTTTTAGTATTTGGCAGACACAACATCTTTGTATGTGGTGCTGAGGATCGAACCTGGGCCGCACGCATGCCAGGCGAGCGCGCTACTGCTTGAGCCACATCCCCAGCCCAGTGCTTATTCTTTAAAACCTTATGATCCTTTTACAAATTTGAGGCCAGCCTCAGCAATTTAGTGAGAACCTGTCTCAAAATAAAAAGGGCTGGGGGTGTAACTCAGAGGTTCAATCCCCAGTACCAAAAAAAAAAAAAATCACGATCCTAACATTTTCTAAATTCCAGATGGTTTAAAGATTGCAGTGTGAGGTCAGGCATTACCCTCACATTTTCTAAATTCCAAATGGCTTAAAGATTGCAACATGAGGCTGGGCACAGTGGCACATGACCCATGATCCCAGCCTTCAGGAGGCTGAGACAGGAGAACCTCAAGTTTGAGGTCTGCCTCAACAACTCAGCAAGACCCTCTCTCAAAATTTTTAAAAATTAAAAGGGCTGAGAGGAGCATAGCTCAGTGGTACAGTGCCCTCAGATTCAATCCCCAGAACTGAGAAAGAAAAAAGATTGCAATATGAAAATAAGCTAAGTAACAAATTAAACTGAGGGTTTTTTGTTGTTGTTGATAATGTTTTTAAACTTCAGAGTGAGGAAGACCTTTTGAAATACAATACAAAACCGGTACCGAAGAAAAACAAAGGATGGATAAATTTAATCCCCAAAATACCTAATGTTTTTGACTGGCAAAAACAAACAAACCTCTAGGCAAAGTCACAAGTCAAACAACAAACTGGGAAAAAATATTTGCAATTCATTTGACAAAGAGCTGATTTCCCTAGTATATAGTGACCTATAAATCAAGAAAAATGAGCAAAAGATATAAACAGACATGCAAAGGGAAACATAAATCCATCTTAACCATGAAGAGAGACTTGCTCCATTAAAAACAGTTGCCATTTGAACCCCCCAGAGATACCATTAATCAGGACTGACAAAAGGTAAAACATTTGA